TCTCTCTCTCTCTCTCTCTCTCTCTCTCTCTTTCTTTCTCTGCTCATGTTCTGTTTTGCGCGGTATATCCCAGCAGCAGAATTTCTGTGGTTGTTGTTGCAATGAGGGATTGCATCGCGAACGGGGAATTGAGAAACTAATGGACAAAGTTGAAACTAATTTCAGGTGGTGATGAACGTGAGAATCGTGATTTCTAGTATCACATATCGGAGTTTCAAAGTATTCTTTCATTTCATTCTCGTCGATAAAATGATTGCAAAACAGTTTTACTACAGAAATTTATGTGTTTTGAGCTGATCGTGATGTACGCAACGAAAAATCACGAAACAATGAGTTACAAAAGTCACCAACCCGAAATCGTTTCACTGAATTGTACTAGTTGTATATTAGTTTGAAGCGAAACACTACTGAATGTTAGTCAAAGCGATAGCAAATTTTACAGCGAACGAGTTCTCGGGAAAAGCGTCAGAATGTCGGAGATCAAGCTCTTGAGGAGACTGAAATTTAATTAATCGCAAGAAAAAGAAAAAAAAAAAAAGAAAAGAAAAAAATACGAACGAGCATAAATCGTGCAAAGACGTTTTCTTTCCAGTGTAGTTCGCGAAATCACGGGAAAAATACTAGCATATCTCGCAACCATCGCGATGGACCAAGATTTTTCGACGCTGACTCACGGGACAACGACCGCTGTCAAATGTATCAGAAATTTCGACAAATCGTGCAGCGACAAGCCGATGCGAGTCAACGACCTGAACGAGATGACGATCGCTCGAGTACCAAAACGAACACAAGGTGAACTTCCTTAAATTCTACGTCTTAATTTTTCGCAAATTTACTGCGCGTTCAATACTGACTTACAAGATCGACTTTACAAGAAAACTGCAAGAAACTTATTTCTTGTCAATGAAGAAAATTATATATAGCTTTGGAAATTCGGATTTGCACATTTTCACTGAAAACGAACTGGAATATAGATAACATTCTAATTCTGTGATATATTACTGCTATCAGTGAGAAAACGGAACTTAATGGTGAAATGAATGAACAAATGATAGTTTCGTGAGTTTCTGAGGCAAGTCCCGTTTTAATATCTTGCTTCAATCTAAGTGATTGCTAAACACACACATCAACAGAAAAATGATTGAAAACTTGTGGTTTAAAATTTGAAACGAAAGTTCTGAACTTAATGTATGAAAACGGACGTGAAGTGTGAAATTTTTGATTGATCTATGTGGACATCTTTGCGAGAACTCAACGAAAAACGTAATTCTGAAAGGTATTTTTTTTTCTTTTTTTTTTTTTTCAACTTTGAAAAGGAAATTGGGGTGTAGAGTCGCGTTGTTTCGAGCCACTCGAAAGTGATCCGCGTTGTACTGGGCGACAACCACGTGTTGCATTTCTAGTCGATATGCAACGTGCTGTCCTACTACTCTCGAGTGTATATACCCGCGGCTGCCGCGTGTGAGAAGAGGAAATTAATTGCGTCGCACGTATTATGAATCTCAAACGTATTCAAAGTTTATTCAGAACAAATTTCGATTGGTGTTTACAAAGCGTATACATAATGTAATAAGGAGTAAATACGTTCCAATAATAAATAAAAATAAATAAACAAGACAGACAAGTAAATGATTACAAAAAAAGTAAGAAGAAATATTAATTAGTATACATAGTGTATACATAGTATACACAGAGCTCGATTAAATAATATTAGAAATGTACATCACTCCAAAATATAACATTGATGAAGTATATAAACCACACGCGTTGTAGCAGCAGCTACAACATCACGAATTATTATTCATATAGT